ATATAGTGATATAGTAATATGTGATTCTTAAATAAGATCTGGCAGCATTTCGAATAACTACTGTAATTTTGAAGTAGTGATGAGCACCAACAATATTTCAAGATATTTGCACCGTTATGTGATATAAAAATATCTGTGATTTCTTTTGGTGACAGAGTCACAGATAATTCCTAATATTACTGTAACTTGTTGCCTACATTCATAATTGAAGGAGTTAGAAGTTAGAGGTTATTAAAATAAAGATATAATTTTTCCCCCATCCAAGTTCATGGAATTCATTGTTCTGTTCACAGAAATCTAAGACTCGGGGTTTGATCATCAGTACTTCTAAGTGCAACAGGACTCTGGTCAGTTGAGTAGGAAAAGATCAGACTCAAGCTCTGAAAAGCATTTGGCAAGGCATAAATAACCATTATTCCATTCAAGTAGCAATTGCTGCTCTATACAAAAAAATGTGATGATGTGGTGCAATGGGTTATAACTGTGGAAAATCATTTTGATGGAGTGGACACCAAAGCTGCAGAGGCTGAGGTCAACACTGAAGGGCAGGGCACAGTTGAAAATCATCATCGAAATCTTGGGCTGTACGGTTAAAGGAAACATTTCCTTTATTAAAGACTGTCATATTAAAGGGAAATTTTTTTCTGCCAAAAAGGATAGGTAATATCTCAGTGCTTTAGTTAAAAATGGATTCCATTCACTTGGCATATAGCCATTGTATTTTATGATGAGCGTCTTCAATAATCTGACCCTACATTTGTATACCACTTTGTTGGGGTGGGGGGAAATCCCCTTTCTTCCCTTCTTGTGTTCTTATGGTTGGACTAAAATAAAATTGACACAAGACTAGATTAACAGGAGAAAAACCCAGTTTAGTATGTATGTATTGGAGATCATAAAGAAATGATGCTCGGAGAGTGAACAAAGTAGGCAGCATATATAACATTACACAAAGAAACAGTAAATTTGTGAAAAATTGACAGGACAAAGAAACTTAGATTTGGGGTATGTAATTAGTGAGGAATTTAAGCAGAGTTTAGGCTTGAGGAAGTAAATTGGGAAGGTTTGTTTATGCAGGCTTCTTGGCCCTGAATCCCCTAGCTCTGGTGATAAGGATGCAGGGAGAGCACCTTTCACGTGGGAGATGTATTTCCTGCTTTCCCGGGGAACAGAGACAGGAGGGTCAGAATGCCCTTTTTGCTTCTCAAGTAGCTTTAATTCAAAATAATCAATATGCTATTGTGGGATATTTTGGGGTGGCCTGCTGTGGGCCCCAACAACTTCACACTTTTTAAAATGCATTTGCCTCTGTTATCTCATCTTGCGAATCTAAAAGAATTGCTATGTTGAACAGTAATATACTTTGTCAGTAGCAATATTGGGACTAAGGAGGTCACAGTTGTATCTGCGGGGAAAAAATGAGTATTATTGTAAGACCCACTGGCTTCTTAAGTTTCTCAACGGTGGGCTTTCTGTTACAGATAAACTTAGGTAGAAAGGTGATATATTGATATTGACTAAGACACAAAGAATTCTGTAGTGGGTTTAGTGAAGTAAATAGTCTCCCCTAGAAATAAGAAATGTGGGCAATGTACTGCAGTTTTTGAAATATAATAGGCAAGTTTCAAGATCATTTTGTGGAAGACTAGTTGGCTCATGCTTTCATTCATTTAAGTATATATTGAGGGTCCCATCCATGACTTCACTACCAGCCTTTGCGCAAAATTGCACCCGCACTTACCTCTCCTCCTTTTCCTCAGTTCTTCCTTCTTTCTTTGTGCCTGCTGCTGCTCAGCAACACTCCTCCCCTTTCTGAGCCGCTCTGCACTTCCATTTCTTACCTCACTTCTCCTTGCCCTTCTTTTTAATTCTTCGCACCTGTTTCATCACGAAGAAGACAATACTTTATGTATCCCCCTTCCTTCTTTCTAGTCCAAAGTTTTCCTGTCCCAACTGTGTCTTTTAAGAGAAAAAAATGTTCCATGCAACTCTGCCCTAAATTTGTTACTGCACAAAATTGGGGTTCTCACGATGTACGTGAACAAGCCAATTAATTATGGCATTAGGCTTTGGGAAAGAAATCAGCTTTATTCTGCAAGATGGATCTGCAGGAAGGCGGGGCTTGTGCCCTCAGATCTATCTCCCCGATTCAGGATTTGGGGTGAAATTTAAGAGGTTAGGGAGAACAAGCTGGCACATGGAAATGCTGGCAGGAGGAGTTTTGATTGATGGGCTTTAAGTATTTATGGTAAGGTTCTAAACATTTATGATAAGGTTCTAAACTTGTATGGTAAGATTTTAAACATTTATGGTAAGGTGGGGGAGGAACGAATGACGGACTCCCTGCTTCTGATAAGAGTCCAGCTTTTGAATTCCGATCACGTCCCCGTCCATTGGTTCTGTGGGGAGGAGAATCTTTGGTTCTGTGGTCATTTTGTAACCGGAGTGAAGAGTCCAATTGCCCAGGTTCTTGGTCAGCCTAAGAGAGGAATTCAGACACCGACACAACGGCAACAGCAAGCAAGCAAAGATTTACTAGAGGAAAGGTCAGATACACTCCAAGTGAGAAGCCGGCAGTGCCAGAGAACGCATCTGCCCCATGTCTTGGGTTAGTTTTATTTTCATTTGGGCTGTTTTGAAGGGAATTAGCATTATCTCATCATCCGCCAATAATGGTCTTTCCTCCACCCACACGTTGGGAGGGGGAGTTCTTGACCTTCTAGGGGAATCTCCAAAACTGTCATGGCAGTCATCCCCTGTGGCAGGGGGGCTAATGCATATGGAATTTGTATGTAAATTCAAGAAAGGACACTGTCCTCTAGAGGTGTATAGTAGAAAGCTTTGTATGTGTTGTTTGTGCACTTATTATCTTTATCTTCGTGGTTGAAGGTCTCAGACTCCAGTGGCGGTGCCAGGTGGGTCTTAGTTCCCCTTTATCTGTATCTTGTGGGATGCCAGCAAGATGCTTCTTTGATGTAGCGAGGTCTCCAGCTGTGATTCCCCGCTCGTGTCTGGATGCCAGCAAGACACTCCACTGATGTGGCAAGGTCTCTAGCTATGATCCCCCGCTCATGTCTACCTAGCTACCTAGCTCAATTTACGATCAAGATTTCTTCTTCTGCGCGTGCTCTGGCTATGTGACTTTGCAAATTTTCTGAAGAGCAATTCTTAATTGCTCTGCTGATAAGATGGTGTCAGTTGAACTGCTCCTGGAGGGCCCACTGTTACAAATTCTCTGTCTCCTAATTCTGAAAAGAAAACAAAAGAAAATTAACTAGAAAAATTGAGACATATACATTTTTCTTCTGTCTGGCCAATGTTTCTTTTTCCCAGGTGAATCCAGAGCTGAATACCTGTACTCCTAGGCACATAACTGCAAAAATTGACTGATACATAGGAAAGATTTAACAACGATTTCAAACATGGTGACTCTTGTTTCTTTTTTCTCTTTTTATCAATAATCTATTCAGTGCATAATCAAAAGTATTGAGAAACTATATTGCAGTGTGTTACTACATTTGCTTTTTAATCCTGCAAAGCTTAGCTTTGTATCTTGCCTGTTCCATGAACTGTATCCTGTTGCCCTAATGCACCATAAACTTCTCAGAAGCTGCTGAACTTTCTATTTCCCCTTGAACCTTCTGTGTGCTCTCAAGCATTTGGCAGATACTGAATACAGTCTCTCTTAATTTTTGTTGAATAAAAGGAAGCACTAATACTTTTTTTAACAGCTTTATTGAGGTATAATTTACAAACCATAAAATTCACTCTTAAGTGTATAATGCAGTAATTTTTCATAAATTTACACTTGTGCCACCATCACCACAATCCAGTTCTGGAACATTTCCATCACCCTGAAAAGATAATCGTGCACTTTTGTAATCACTTCTCATTCTTACCCTCTAGTGCCAGCTGCAGGCCACCACTGCTCTACTTTCTGTCTCTATGGATTTGCCTATTCTGGAAATTTCATGTAAATAGTATCGTATAATATGTGATCTTGTGGCTGGCCTCTTTAACTTAGCATGTTTTTAGATTTGGGAAAAGACTAATTCCTTATTTGTTTCCCCTGTACTAGAGTTTAACAAAATAAATTGGAAAGCTATAACAAGCATTTAAAATTGGATAGTCTCTTTTTTTCAACAAAATTATAACAAATCCAGTGCTGAGTGGAATCAGCAAGTTGAAGGGTTTGGGACACTGCGACAGGGAGACACACTAATGGAAGAAAAGCGAGGCCGCAGTTTGACTATGTTTCCATGACTTCTGCTGTGACCTCCACTGCTGTCTTCTTAGGAGTTGTAGTAGAAATAGTACTCTTTATTGATCTCTTACTGTATGGTAGATACTACATAAACCCTTATGTAGATTGTCGCATTAATCCTCACAAAACTCCAAGAGGTTGTTATCCACTTTTTACAGGGAAGGAGACTAAGACTGGTTTTAACTGAGAGGTTAAAAATCACTTGCCCGAGATCACATAGTTAGTAAATATCAAATGCTAGTGTTAGAGACTAGTTCTTTCAGACCCCAGAGCCTGTTTTCTTAACCCTATGCCGCACTGTCTCTTACTGATGCGAAACGGAAAAAGCAAAACTAGCCACAGAAACCAGAAAAGCACAGTTGCCCCCTCAGTTGTCCCTGTGCCCTCAGGTATTCCTGCCCCGGGAGAGAGTGAGCTTTACGCTGGTCTGTCATAGTGCTGTCTTCAGGTTTCCCTACCCGAGAAGTCAGTGAAATGCGAAGTTTTAAGAATGAGTTCCATCTAGAAAGTTCTGTTTCCTTGAAGGTAAAAGTTAATTATCTGGGAAATTTGTTTCTTTAGAACAGCTCATTGCCGGATAAAGGAGATACATATTAACAAACCAATTTGTGTTTTTTTTCATAAGACAGTGAATTTTAAAATGTGCCAGGTTAAGCTCCCTTTTGGTGATACAAGATACAAGAATGGGTTATAAAGTTTTTCCCAAAGAAACTGATGTTCACATACTTTTGTGTGTGTGTTCCCTGTTCAATGCGGACTCTTCCTATAGCTAAGAAGAAACTTCCTGACTTGCCTGTCTTCTTGGAAAACGCCTCCTTGCATCCCAAAATCTTCCCAGTCAGAAGCTCTACTCAATATAACAAATAATGGACTCCCCTGCGCCCCCCTGCAAATATTCACGGATCAGGAGACGATGATAAAGAGCACAGGTGAGTAAACTTCTCAATTTTACCTCATTTTCCTCTGGTCTTGAGTTGGGTCTACAATATGAAATTATGTGACATATGACATGATTAGGGGATATGTTCATCTAAGTTTGTGAATGGGATTTTTTTACATTAATTAAAAAAATTTTTTTGAAAATAAAGACTTATGAGTATTTTTTTTTTCCTACAGTTAAAAAATTTGCTGAGGAACAAATTGCTCCTTTGGTTTCAACAATGGATGAAAATGCAAAAATGGAAAAATCAGTAATACAAGGATTATTTCAACAAGGGGTATATAATTCATAATTCTTCCAATTTCAAATTTTTATAAATACCTTACAGTGTTAAAATGTATGCTTACTTTTAAATTTAGGAACTGTATGATAGCATAATGAACTCTTCACTTCCTAGTCAAAATTATCTGTGTTCTCTTCTACATTGAGATACTAGTTAAAGATTTTTTTAAATTATCATTCTAAATTAGAAATACTGTGCTTTTTAAGTAAAAGGTTAGAAACAAGAGTAACTTCTTTAGACCAGTGGTACTCGACCAAGGGCTATTTTGTCCTCCAGGAGACCTTTTTGGTTGTCATAACTTTGGGGTGCTACTGGCACCTAGTGGGATAGAGGCCAGCAATGCTGCTAAACATCCTTCAGCGCGCAGGACAGCCTGCCACGACATCGCTTACCCAGCTTGATAGTACCGAGGTTAAGAAACAGTACCTCAGTCAGTAAAACGTCATAGTAGAGCATGTATTCCTCCAGAATCCTCCCTGTGGATGTGGGGAACTTAGAGCAGAGGCGATACCTGTATTCCACATTAACCAGGGCAGCCGATTTCCAACTTTTCGAGTCACACAGGCCTTTAATGGAAGCACAATCTGTATAACAGATAAGAGTAGAACTCCTCTGGCTGTGGGTGGAGGGGGAGGTTATCAGCATGGGGGCTCCGAGGAGAACATTTTCAAAGTCACTGCGCTTACTCTTCGCCTCTGTGCCTTCTCCATAGGTGTAACGTGATCCTTATGTTTTGTTTTGAATACTGAGGATATCCCAGAACTAATAGCTCCTATTCAGAGCCATTGGCTTACATCTTAACTGTTATCCTTTTTGAAAAATAGCCCTTTCCACCTAACTAGTTTTATTTTCTACCCATTTTAAGGAGACCAGCTTTTCTTCTTTTTTTTTTTTTTTGTGAGGAAGATCGGCCCTGAGCTAACATCTGCCAATCCTCCTCTTTTTGCTGAGGAAGACTGGCCCTGGGCTAACATCCGTGCCCACCTTCCTCTACTTTATATGGGACACCGCCACAGCCTGGCTTGACAAGCGGTGCGTCAGTGCTTACCCGGGATCTGAACCGGTGAACCCCAGGCCGCCGCAGTGGAGCGTGCGCACTTAACCACTTGCGCCGCCGGCCGCCCCGAGACCAGCTTTTTTATACCACGTATGGTAGTGATTTTTCCAACTTTCTCTTAGCAGTGAAACTCTTGGGAACATGGAATCATATCTGCAGCCACAGTGCGTCAGACAGCATCTCAGTCCGTTTCTCAGCCAGGTTTCATCCTCATTGTTAGCACAACCTCTAGGCTTCTCCGCGAAGTCTAGGGTTCCACAGTTTGGGCATCACTCTCCTGAGGGTGTAGTTCTTACAGATGGGGTCGTTGCAGCAATTAGTTGTCTGCCTGCTACCCCGCAACCTGCTCTTGCTTAGATGCAGCATCCCCTGGAGGGTCTGGTTGGTTGCACAGCTATTTTCCTGCACCGGCTATTTTCGGCCTCACCTGACTCCTGACTCCTGCTGTCTCAGTTCTCTGGTCACCTGCTGTAGTAGCCCACAAAAACAGTATTTCCAATGTAGGAGAAATTGGTGACTTTTTTAGAGATGCAGTGTCTCTGACAGCTGTTCAAGATATCATCAGACAGGGACTATGCCCTCCTCAGTCTTCAGGCATCCTTCAGTTCTTCCTCATAGAGCATCGTTGCTGGTTCTCTAGCCATTTCAATCCTGCACCTTTGCGATTCTACCTTCATAGCAGCAAAGTTTCCTGTCATCTTAAAACATAAGAGCTGCACCCAGATGACAGCGTGGTGTGATTCTGGAAGTGTGTGGAGAGAGTAGAAAGAAGGGTTATCCTTTCATTGGTTAACAGCTCTGGGTCTTGAATCACATGTACACACGTTCTCTTCCTGAAATGAGGACACGGAGAAGCGGAGGACTGCGGGGCCAGCCCGGTGGCACAGTGGTTAAGTTTGGCAGGCTCCACTTTGGCGGCCCGGGTTCGCGGGCCCATTTCCCAGGCGTGGACCTACACCACTCATCAAGCCATGCTGTGGCAGTGTCCCACATACAATATGGAGGAAGATTGGCACGGATGTTAGCTTAGGGACAATGTTCCTCAGCAAAAAGAGGAAGATTGGCAACAGATGTTAGCTCAGGGCCAATCTTCCTCACCAAAAACAAATAAACACAAATGGAGGACTGTGGAAGTTTCCTGTTCCAGACTTAGGCATAGTTACTGAACCGTCAGACGGTCACTGGAAGGCCTTGGCCAGCATTTGGTTGTGTCTACCAGGCATCTGGGCCTTGTCTAGTAGGAAACACTACCAAATGGTGTCTGCTAATCATCTGGATTTGCTAAAATGGCCCACGAGGAGTGGTTGTTTAATTAATATCTTGGCTGAAAGAGTCAAGGTGGAGGAGCCTGGCTAGAAGAGATTATGCCAAATGAAACTGTAGATCTTCCCACCGTGGACAAGTTTGCTTTCTTCAGTTTCCTTATTACACTGAAATCAGTATTAAAGGGGGCCGTGTTGAGAGACCAAACCAAAACACCACTTAGTTTTTAAGCAGGCAGCAACAGTTCTTAGCAATAAAGGTTATCAGAGATATATTTATATTATTTAAGATATTTTCTCATTATTCTATTCTGTTATCCTTCAAAGCATTTTACCTCTCTTATTTTTGTTTTTTAGGTCTCAAACAGAAACAAATGATGATTCTAGCATATAATTTCATCCTTTTCAAATATATGTAGTTTGTTATAGATTTTTTTTGTTACTATAACAGCGAAATAGCCAGACGAAATTAAAATATACATACAAAATTTTAAAATTAAGAACTTATATGGTTGCAGTTTATTTTTGAACTTGTTCTTGTAAGAAATTTTCCCATATAAAAATAGCTTTCTTAATCTGTTTCCTTGTTTTTCTTTTAGTTGATGGGTATTGAAATTGACACCAACTACGGAGGAACAGGAGCTTCGTTTTTTTCCTCTGTCCTGGTGGTAGAGGAATTAGCCAAAGTTGATGCATCTGTGGCTTTGTTATGTGACCTCCAGAACACGGTAATTAACCCGCTGATTATGAAACATGGAACAGAAGAGCAAAAGGCTACCTACTTGACCAAGCTGGCTACAGAAAAAGTGAGTTGAGATGAGTTGTTGATCTGATCTTTTCTAGAGTTAGGACATTTTCAGGAGAAGAGTAGCTGCAGTGTTGACTTCACTATCCAGGACTACAATGCAGCACCATTAATTCATCAAGCATTGCTCAATAAATTAATTCTACTAGAAAAACACACTCTGCCTCTCATTTGCCACTTGGAAATTTAGAGAATAATCATAAGACAAAAAATTATTTTTTTGTCCCAATTATATTTTCTAATACCTTTGATGGTGGTTTCATTTACATTGAGATGTCTTTTACCGCAATCATTAAAACCAATTTAACATAACATCAGATGTGTGTGCTTGTCTTTAAATCTCAGACAAATAATAGAGTATATATTGGAAAATAATACTATCAGAATGCCATTACTATTTTGAAAAGTACAGGCTTTTAAAAGTAGCTGAACATTTGATTTATAAATGTTTATTTTGCCATAAGTTTTTGTTATACAGAGTATAAATACAGTTATTAATTTGGAATTTTTTTCCTTCCATGTGTAGATAGGAAGTTTCTGCCTTTCAGAGGCTGAAGCAGGTAGCGATTCCTTTAGTTTAAAGACCAGAGCTGATAAAAAGGGAGATTATTACGTCATCAGTGGGTCAAAGATGTGGGTTACCAGTGCCGAGTACGCAGGGCTCTTCCTGGTGATGGCAAATGTTGACTCTACCCTGGTAAGTTTGGAAACAAAATCTTTCCCTTTTCCTCCCTCATCTTTTTTCTTTAAATCTTTTCCTACTTCCATTTACTTTTTAGGACTTAGTCTTAAAATTCTTCATTCTCATCAGTACTGAAAATGTTATACAACTGACATCTTTTCATCTTCTTATTTACTAATCTTCTAAAATAAATATTGTTGATGTAATTATTACATGGAGGACCCATTATTAATTATCTCCTAATGTATTATATAGGAAGATAATATCTGATTTTTTAGAATTTTAAATTTTTTTTAATAATGAATAATTTAAGTATCTATTTAATACAGTTTATTTTTAAGAATATCTTATTGAGTTGGAAGATAGACATACAAGCAAAATAAATACATTTTATCTTTTCTGTTTTCTCTAATGTAACATGTAATTGAATTAAAATTTAAAACTTTATTTAATAAATTTAAATTTAAAAGATGTTCTCATGATCATATAATACTTTAGTGTAACTTAGTAATTTTAATAATCGTAATGGTTTCTGAGAAAGTAATAGAAATGGTGAAGTTCTTGAGTTTGAATCTAATGCCCTTCAATCCTTCTCGTTTCGTAATGCACATGTTGCCGTTGTGAGGCCTTTCGTATTTATTGCTCAAGTCCATTTTTAGTTTTCTGTTTACTTTCAACTCTTTGGAAACAGAAGATCTTATCAGTCCAAGTGGTAATAGCGTTTTAAATCTTCTTTTTAGGGCTATAAAGGAATTACCTGCTTCTTAGTGGATCGTGATACTGAAGGCCTTCATATAGGGAAAGCAGAAAACAAATTGGGAATCAGAGCTTCCTCCACCTGTCCGTTAACATTTGGAAACGTCAAGGTGGGTATCTTAGAATTTCCAGTAAAAGACCGATGTGAAATAAGCTTTGCATGGAACTATAGATATGCAAAAAAAGTGTCGAGATATTAAGCATGTGTACGGGAGTATTTTGTAAGACTCTTGAACAATGTTCTTAGGTTGGGTAATGACTAAGTGTACTTTTCCCAAGCGTTTAGGCCAAGAGTGGAAACCTTTCTGCCCAGCAGCTGGCCTCAAGGGCCAGTGCCGAGAATTAATCCTGTTTATACTTAAAAAACTTGACACTTGTGAACCAAACATGGCTTCAGAAAAGGAAGTGTGGTGTCTGTACACGAAGGGCCACAAGATGGGGATATTGCTCAGTGAGAGTGGAAAACAACCAGACAGTGCCCCACAGTTTAGTGTTGTGTCTGTTGAAAATGAGATAGAGAAGATTGCCAAAATACTTATGCTTGAGAAGTTTACAGAGATAGAACAGGTTAGGATGGACTTTCTCCCTCTCAGGGTAGAACTTGATCTTTTTACTCATGGAGGGTCTTCACAGATGTCATTTGAGCCTCATACTTCATCCCAACTGTCTTCCTTCTTCTACTTTCCTTTTTCTTTCTCCATTCTGCCTCCTCTCTCTCCTAACTGCTCATATTATAGAGCTAAGTGTATTTCTTTATTGTTCCTAGTCTAGATTTGTTTTCAGTCATGAATAAACATTTTAATCTATTTCTTCTCTCCTTTCTCCTCCTCGCTCTTGTACACACATGCGTGTGAACACACACCCCTCACTTGATTTTTATGGGAATAATTGTCTCAACAGAAGAAAGGTTTACTACCCTTACTTTAGCAAGTACTTACATATTTTCTGTCATTCCTAATATGTTATCTCGTACTATAGCACACAGAATGTAGTAGTGAACAGCGTGAACTTGAGTCCTGTCTCTCCAAGAGCTGTGTGGGAAACAGTTTAGAGGGAGACAGAGACGTAGCTGATGGGGCCGGCCTGGTGTCGCAAGCAGTTAAGTGTGCGCGCTCCACTGTGGCGGCCTGGGTTTGCCAGTTCGGATCCCAGGCGCGCACCAAAGCACTGCTTGTCGAGCCATGCTGTGGCGGCGTCCCATATAAAGTAGAGAAAGATGGGCACGGATGTTAGCTCAGGGCCAGTCTCACTCAGAAAAAAGAGGAGGATTGGCATCAGATGTTAGCTTAGGGCTGATCTTCCTCACACACACACAAAATAAAGAGACGTAGCTGATAATTTCCTTGGAGTTTAATAAATACTGTGCTACAGTAATATCACACAAATTGGAAATATATGTGCATTTGAAAATATATTATCAGAATGAATTATGTCAAATTAAATTGAGAAATAACTGCACACATTTCTTTTCAGGTTCCAGAAGCCAATGTCCTGGGACAAATTGGACATGGCTATAAGTATGCCATAGGAGTCCTTAATAAAGGCAGAATAGGAATTGCTGCACAGGTTAGTCAAATTTTACCAATTTAACTTAACTCTTCCACGGTGTGGGTCAATTGAAATGTGGAAAGAAAAAATGCCCTAAAACCAGTATTTGGAAGCCTGTGACCACGAGATGGCTCCCTTCCCTTCCATGAGGTGAAAGAATGGCTTCTGACTGTGATTTCCTTCAAGTTTCACTTTGGTCAATTATATAATATCCTGAGACCCAAACAATGGCTTCGTGGTGATGTCCTCCTTTGAGAACATTAAAGTATTATCCAGTACCTGAATCAATAACTTCTAAAATATATTGTAAATTAAATATGGCATTTTTAAAAAAATCAACCTTTCAAAGCATGAAATTCATTCTGGAAGAAATGTTTTAAATTAAGAGTAAATAATAATCTACTGCGTAATAAAAGCCTCTAATCTATAATGAAAGGTTTATTGCTTAGTGTTTTGCATATGAAAATCAGTCAATTTTGTGTGTGTGTGGCACTTGAAATAAAATAACCACAATTAAATAGAGGTATAAGATGAGAACTATTCAATTTTTTACCAAATTTGCCCTTTTGGTGCATATTACTTTTTTCTATTAAGTGATAATCAGTTATTTTCTAGATTAACAAAATGAATAAAGTCTTTGGTTTTATTATAAATTATGTCATTTTTATAGAATATGTTTACTTATTTTTAATCAGTGAGTATCCAAAATTCAAAAACTTACGGCTTTTGGATTTTGAAGGTGTTACATATATATTAGCTGTTGGAGTACTTAAATGTTGTGGTATTCCTCTAGTTTTTTTACACTGTTAATTTGCTAACAAAATATTCTTAGATAAAAACTTAACCCATGTTTCCCACAAAGCTAGATAATATGTTACTAAAGAGAATTGGCTTATCTGTTCTTTTTAAAGTTTTTCTGTGATGCAATTTCATCAGAAAGGGCATTAAAAACTATAGTACTGGATCTCCTTGTTCCCAGACATATAAATAATATAGATGTTCTGGCAGTAAAATACACAGCCTGGGCTTTAGTCTATTACTCCAAGTTATCTTATAACCTAATTAAAAGTTAAGGTCAGGTAGTTATTATTTCTTGGTTAATGCTATGGATGCCTTTTAGAGAAAGAGGCACATATAACAATGAACTGAAGACATCCATCCTCAAAACTCTGCAGTCAAAGAGAATTTAGTTTTTTAGTATTTATAGTGAAAACATTTTATCAAGATGGAAAAGCCTATTTTGATTGACCACTGATCATTTCAATTTTCATGTCACTATAGGATATTATCAACAAACTTTAGTATAAACTTTATAGTATAACTTTAGTTATAAGGGTATAATGTCATCATCTTATCTCAAAGCCAAAAGTGCAATGAGTCGCTGCCTCACTTTAATTTGGTTTTTTGTTTTTGTTTTTTGTCTTCTAATTTTTAGCATAATATTCTATTCTCCAGAAAGTTCAAAATAAAAGGCTAAAGGAAAATGTGAATGAACACTAATGAAATATTGATAAGTTTGTGAGCATTTCCCCCTAGAGCTTTAACTATTGATTTTTTTTTCCTTTTTCTAAAACCTACATAGTTTGACATAATTAGATAGTGATTTAATGGCTACCTAATGTTGAAATTTAGAAACCATTTTTAAGCTTGAATTGTTCAATAGCTATGGAGATTGGTTAGCAATGAGACAGTTCAGCTAAAATTGTCACCACGTCCTGATTTGTTCTTCAAGTGTGTAAATTAATGTTTTTACCAGATGCTCTCTCTATCAGTTGTTCTCAACTCTAGCTCTGTGTTAAATCATCTAAGGAATTTTTGAAATGCTAATGTTCAGGCCATACTCATCCCTCTCCACTCACAAGCTTGGGATTCGGTTGGTAGACCCCCACATCAGTATTTTTTTTTTATCAGGTTCCCTCAAGTGGTTCTAATATGCAGCCAGGGTTGAGAAACAACGCTCTTTTATATTCTAATGCCCTTTCCACCAAAGCTCTTATTAATCCTCATTATATACAGAATGGACAGGAAGATAGAAGGTTAAGAAGTGACCTTCTGCATTTGACTTCTAGGACTAGAGGGAGCTACTTTACAGTCTTTGAGGCCAGTTTTGAGCAAAATTTTCTGAGGTTCATTTTATGCCTGGAGACTCAGAGCTTAAGGGAGAAGTTTCCTGAAAAGTATTCTGCTTGTATGAACACAGCTGTGCCAGGAGATTTACTTCTATGCTGGAATTCAATATCCTCATATTCATATGACATCTCTCACATTGTCTCCCAATTGCTGGAAGTTATGTTCTGCAAATGCAGTGGGTGAAGGTTATTAACATACACCTCACCACCTCAGTATCTCTAGTTCTTCCCCTACCCCAAATATTCAGTCTGCCTGTAAAAGGAATTTATAACTTAAATGATTAAAATAATGCATAAACTTATAACAAAATAAGAAATTCTGATCTTTTTTTTTTAACAGATGCTGGGACTGGCTCAAGGATGTTTTGACTTCACTATTCCATATATTAAAGAAAGGGTACAATTTGGCAAAAGAATATTTGATTTTCAGGTATAGAATTATTGGCATGTTTCTACTGTACTGGACTCTCCCATCTTGCTGTGAATGAAGAGCTGTGTTATAAATTCCTCGGGGGATTTCGATAGGAGAGATGTAGGGGAGGCAGGGCATGTATTTGTGAATGCCTGGACCTTCTCCAAGGGCAGAGCAGTAGTCCTGGAGGCCCAGCTATGGCACGACTGGGGATATCGTGGTGAGCACTTGGGAGCTGTCTCCTCGCCACTTCGTAAGTTCCAGGGCATGGGGTCTGCAGTCAGACTTCCTGGGTTCAAATCCTGGTTCTTGTCTCACTAGCTTTAGCCCTTGGACAAGTTACCTCCCCTCTCTAAGTCCCAGGTGCCTCGTCTATAAAATGAAGATAGTACTGACCTCCCCTCTAGGGTGATTTTGAGTCAGGTAGATATGTAAAACACATTGCCCGAGTCTAACAAGTGCTCAGGAAATGTAGCACTTGTTCAGAATCAGGCCAGAGCCCTGTGGCACTCCTCAGAAGACTGCATTTTGACACATCCGTCTTATAGAAGGCACAGCTTGCTGCAATAAGTGCGAATGAGATGCTCTCAGTCAAGCGTCTTGGGAAATACTGGACTGGTCCAATGACATGGCTTCTCAGGGCTTCCCAGGCAATCAGGGGATTTGTTGGTGGCAATATGCATTCTTCCTGTCCACTTTGAGATCTTGCCAGGTTGGGGGAAGCCTGGAGTGGCGGCTTACCAAGCTTACTCAAACACATTACTTAAAAATCCAGAATTACTTTACATGTTTGCAAAACCTCCCTTTAAGCAGCTCTAGGCTCCGAATACAGTTTCTTATTACATTACCAGCTCTGTCATGCAGCATTGTCTTCCGGCTCTGTAATAATGTCTAGGCATCACACAAGCACACCCCAGTTGCACGTATGTAGAGATTCTAGGCTGTGGGTGTGCACAGTCAGTTCAAGGCCTAGAAAGACTGAGCATGGCAGGCCTGGCCAGGGCCCACCACAGCCCATACCATCATTGCCATCATGTATGTGGGAAACTGAGGCACATGGAAAGCAAGTTCTCAAGGTCGTAACGCTAAAGCTAGTAAGGTGTCAAAATTACAGGTTTTTTGTCTTGGCTTCGGGTCTAATTTTCATGTCATACTAGAGTACTTTCTCAGAGCCAGCCACCACATAAATTGCAAGGAAAGGGACAGAATGTGAAGGCAGTTTTGAGGGGGTCTTTTGATCTTTGTACACAGGAAACAGTGTTTCCATGTATATGGGGTTGGAGAGGGAGGGAGAAGGGGTCAGGTGTACGAATAGGTATAATCATGATATATTTCTAAAGATGCCTAGTAAGGGTAATTAAAACTTTTAGAAATTTGCTCTTAAAAAGCAACATTATTAATTTTATATGTCTCTGTGAAGCTTTGATAAAAGTTAGTAGAGTTTTTTTCTAACTGCTTTAATCTCATTATAGTGGTTTGTTTTTTGCTTTGCCTGCCATCATTCGTATCTTTCTCTCCTCTAGACTATAAGCTCCTTGAGGGTAGGGACCAGGCCTCTTCATCCTTATTTCTTTTGGTTGTTTATTCAGCACAGATTTATTGAGCATGTTCTCCATGCCAGGCCCTGTGTTCACAATGTAGTTAAGAAACCAGTATTCGTGATGGTGGGTTCTTGTAGGGCAGGAGACATGCCAAGCTCGCTTTTCTGTCTCTCATGGTGCCTAATATGGTCATTAGAGTAGACAAGTTGATGGCGACCATCAGTTTAATTGAACGAATGTACTTTTCAAAAATAATTAGAATCTCTGCATTCCACCTAACGAGCCATAAACAATTTCTAGAATAGTGTGTTGGCATATAAATAGACAAATTGACTAATGGCACAAAACAGAAAGGTCAGAAATAGATCCCTGCATGTGTGGAAACTTTATATGGTAGAGATGGCATTGCAGATCACTGAGTGGGAATATTCTTTCCTTGCGGAAAAAAATGAAGCTGGATCCCTACCTCACACCATACACAGAAAATAGATTTCAGATGTATTAAAGATGTAACATAAAAAGCAAAATTTTAAGTTTTAGGAGAAAACATAGGAGAATATCTTTTTGATCTCATGGTAGGAAAATGTTTTGTAAGCAAGACACCAAAAGGACTGATTATAAAAGATAATGAGAATGGTGAATTTGGCTACCAAATTTCTTTTCCTCAAAAGATGCCACAAAGTAAAAAGACAAATCATAAGGAAGAAAATATTTGCTCTACACATAGGTTAGTGGGTGTTCAATTTTTTATTATGCTGCATAACCTATGTACGTATAACGTAGTCTTTTTTGTGCATATCAAATATTATAGAAGGAGGAGAAGAATCTGTCGGGTATTTGTGAGCAGTATTGTTTTTCTCCAGCTTATCCCTCTTTTTTGCTTAGGAAAGGCCATCCCTAGGATTATTGAGTAATTGCCTTGAGGTTTCCTGACTTAGGAATCATCACACAATATCATCATTATTTAACCATCTGTTCTCCCTGCTGGGCTAGATAAGTCATAAGCACAAGGAACTCTGACTGTAACGTTCAGTGTCAGTCAGTTGCTGTCAGTGTCTCTATTGCTCAGCACACTGCCTGGCATACTGTAGGTGCTCAGTACATGTCTGGGCAGATGGGTATGTGAAGCATGAGAAACATTTCAGTTTGTAATAAACAATCTATGCCCATATTTCCAGGAAATTGTTTATAACTGTAAACTATTAATATTCATGTTCTCACTAGTGTACTCATTTCTCTCTTTGACTAACATTTACTGTGTGCCTAATCACCCTCTAAAATTTCAGAGTGGTAGTGATTTCTTTAGGGTGTTGTCTTTTTTAAGTTATTCTTCTGTTTCCTATAGCCCTAAAGAAACTGGTACGTGTTCATGAATACTGCAGTGCAGTTACTTCAATAAAGTTACTTAGAGAAAATTGGTGCTTCAAATATTCCTTCATTACTTTGCAGCTAACATCTTTTAATGCCTTGAGGCTATATGCAGAATCAAAATTTTGTTACTTCAAGCAAGCAAAAAAAATATATTTAAATTTTTGCTTTGCTGGGATTTAGTTTAAGCTGAATTTTGGTCCTAAAAAGGGTTGAAAATAATTATTAAATATAACAGTCAAATTTTCAAACCTAATTTTGTGATAGTTTATTTTTTAAATCTTGAAGATATAAAGAATTACATGAACTTTGAAATTTTTCTAAGAAACAGTACATGTAGTGTCATATTTCGTTTTAGATTGCAGATTTTAAAGTATTTTTACAAAATGAATGTGAGTTTCCTTTGGGGTATATATATATATTTATGTGTATGTGAGGAAGATTGTCCCTGAGCTAACATCTGTTGCCAATCCTCCTCTTTTTGCTGAGGAAGATTGGCCCTGGGCTAACATCTCTGCCCATCTTCCTCTGCTTTATATTTGGGACACCGCCACAGCATGGCTTGACAAGCGGCGCATAGGTCCACTCCCAGGATCCAAACCTGCAAACCCCAGGCTGCCGAAGCAGAGCGCATGAACTTAACCCCTATGCCACCAGGCCAGCCCATTTGGGGTATATTTTGAGTCAGTAGTGCTCCATATCCAGGCAGGACTTTGAGGAAAAGCTGTGTTTTCGGAGATCATCATTCTCTAACTTGGGCCTGAATGTTACAGGGTCTCCAACACCAAGTGGCTCAAGTGGCCACCCAGCTGGAGGCCGCGAGGTTACTGACATACAACGCTGCCAGGTTTGTAGAAGCTGGAAGGCCATTCATAAAAGAAGCATCTATGGCCAAATACTATGCATCAGAGGTAAAAAAAGAAAAAGTAATTCAACCTTCATTTTTTTTTCAGATGTGTATTTATTAACCTTTGCACTTAGGAATGTTGGTTGAGCATTTGTTTGTTTTTCAAGTAAAATAACATGGACTTTCCATTTCCTACAACAGAAAAGCAAAAATGTAAAGCTTCCATAGGAAAGTGCTTTAATTCTGTGAGGTCTCGATGTTTTCACAGGATCTTAACTGGAGACCGAGTCACCCAATTCAGGTAGAACACCCATCATAAATCATAATATGTCATAAATAAATAAATGGATGAGCCTCATCTGAATGATGGCGTCATATGCATGCTTTCAGGTTTGAGCAAGGAGAAGGCCAGGGGAGATGACATGAAATAAAAACACCAAGGAGAGATTGCCCATGTTTTCAGTGCTTTCCTCATACATACGCATTCTGTATTTAACACATTAGACCTTGGCTGGAGAACTTAGCCAAATCACTGGGCTGCTATTTCCCAGCCTCGGCAGTATGTCTTATTCATTCCGCGGCTTCAAATATTCATTTAACCTCTTCAGCCCTAAAATTTAATCTCCTAACTCAACCTCCCTTCTGAGTTCCAGGCTATTAGACCCAATTTCCCCTTCACTTACCCACCCCATTACACCAGTCAGAAACCTGAGGTCACCTTGACACCCTCCTGTCCCTCATCCCCCACACGGAATCCATCATGTTCCTGAGGATTATACCCCCTAAATATTTCTTGATTTTGTGTATTTCTCTCCCTTTCCACTGCCACCTCTCTAGACCCAGCTGTATGATCTCTTGACCAAACTACTGCAGTCACCTTCTGACCTCTGCAAAGGTCCCTGTTGCTTCCTCCAATCCAGTCTCCTTTTTCAAAATGCCCATGAGGCCATGTCAGTCTCCAGCTTTAAACCCTTCAGTGGCTTCTCAAAACAAATGGAACAATATTTGTATTCATTTCCTATTGCTGCTTTTAACAAATTACCAAAAATTTAGTGGCCTAAAAATATAATTTTATTATCTCAGAGTTCTGGAGGTCAGCGGTTTGAAATGAGTATAATGGGATAAAATCAAGGTGTCAGCGGAGCTGCCTTCCTGGAGGCTCTGGGGGAAAATCCATTTCCTTGCTGTTTCCAGCTTTTAGAGGCTAATTGCATTCCTTAACTTGTAGCCCCTTCCTCTGTCTTCAGACCCAACAGTGTAGCATGTTCAAATCTCTAACTCTCGCCCTCTTAACCTCCCTCTTTCCCTTGTAAGGATCCTTGTGATTACATTGGGCCCACCCAGAGAATGCAGGATAAGCCCCCATCTCAGAGTCCTCAACTTAATCACATTTGCAAATCCCTGTTGCCATGTAGGGTAACAAACATAGTTGCAGTTTCTGGGGATTCGCATGTGGACATCTTTGGGGGGCCATTACAATATTCAAACTGCTCGCCCTCGTATGAGGCCCACCTGCCTCTCCTCTCTTCACAGCTCGCCCTGACCCCAAGCCATTGGCCCTCTCCCAGGTCCTTGAGGCTGATACACCTGTTTTCCCCTTGGAGCCTTTCCATGAGTTCCTCAACTTGAAATGCCCCCTAACTCGTCCTGTAGATCTCAGCTAAGCTGTAATTTCCTCACATACTTCCCCATCTAAATCAAGTTAGCTTTCTTAGCAAGTCTTCTTTTGCCCCAAACAGTTTATCAGTTTCTGTAATTGTTGCTTTAAATGTGTGTCTCTCCAAATGAGCACCAGGACCAAAACGGCAGTGATTGGCCACCCTCTGCCATTGTATACCCAGTGGCTGGCAGAGTGTGCGATATGAAGAAGGCCCTTGATAAATATTTGCTGAATAAATGATGCCTGTCAGCAAGTGTATGTGTCTGAACAATACGTCATTTTCTTAAGAAAATAGGAATTTTGTGAATTAATAAGATATTTTACATAAACGGTATAAAAAATGGGACCAAAGAGACAATAGTAGTTTATGAAATGACTTTAATCTCCATTTGCCAATAACAGTGAATCCAGTATTACTAAAAATATTCCATAGGAGTGTTCCTTATAATGCAAAAGTTACATGGTATCAGCTTGTGATTTGTTGCTGCTTTTTGGTAGATTGCAGGACTAACAACTAGTAAATGCATGGAGTGGATGGGAGGAGTAGGCTACACCAAAGATTATCCTGTGGAAAAGTACTTCCGAGATGCAAAGATTGGTAAATAGATTTTTTACATTTTATTTTGTTTTCTTTTATTCGCCTCTGTAGGTGTGTGGGCTGTTGTAGTTGTTTGATTTTGTCCTCTGTAGTTATGTGGGCTGTTGTAGTTGTTTGATTTTGTATCACTGGTACCTTGGCAAAAGCAATTTTATGTGTATTGGCTCTCTTCTTTACTGTGCCTGGGTGTTTTTCCCCATGTCTTGCTTCAAAAAAAATGGGTTTATATTTTTAAAAATATTAAATTGCCTTTTTAAATGCCTCAACAGGCCTTTTAGTAAAACCACAACAAAATCTGCTGTCTTAATTTTTCTTTTACTAAAAATGTTAATATTTTCATTAGTTTAATGTTGTCTTTGAAGCTTAAGTAAGCTTCTGATTTCAGAAGCTAAGTGCCTCATGAAGTCTGAGCATTCCGATGCTCCACTACCAGATAGGAAGATGGAAACAGAGCATTACTGAAAGTTACCTGTTCCTGAATAACAGTCCAGGCATCTGCATTAATAGTTTAGGAAGGAAAAACTTCAACTGTTTAACACTGATTCTGGCATCAGAATCCAGTTTCCAAGTGGAAAATATCATCTGTAAGGCAAAATCACTTTGTTAAATAGTACCATATTCAGCGGCCGTTGAATGAGGTTACCAGTAACAGTTTTGTAGCAAATGCAGAGGTGATGTTTGTAGAGCTATTTCTTGTACAGACACTTAACTATGGATCCGTTCCTTATTGTTTCTTTTGCTCCCTTTTGTTTAAGGTTCAATATATGAAGGAGCTTCAAATATTCAGCTGAACACCATTGCCAAGTGCATTGATCCAGAATACTGACATCCACAGGAATGGAACCCCTCCCTGATGCTGCTGGTGTAGAATCTTAAACTATTGTGCCTTTGGGGGATCCAAGCCCTTAGTCACGGATCTTGGGGTAGACCTTTCTGTTTCACTTTCCAGTCTGCTTAACTTATGCACGGGAAATCATTTTTAAAATTTGGGAAGAAATGCATCCCTATTTTCTACAAAACTATTTTTAAAGTTCTATAAGTATTATCATTCTAGCTTCAGGGTGTACAGAAGTTTCACTCTATCAGCATTTGGAAAAATAAAGACATTGGAAGTGTTACAGACATGGCTATTTTATATTCCTATTAAATCTTTATTTTGTGGCATCAGTCAGAGGAACCTTTGCTATAGGTGGCAATTCTATGGAATAGATAGATTCAATTCTAAGTTGCTAAACTAGGTAGAAACTGAAAAAAATTTATTTAGAAAAATCTTAAAATGCTGGTTCTAAATACCTAAGAATGGGTGAAAAATAAAGTATAACTCTGTAGGTCAAATAATTGAAGAAAACATTGTGGGTTTTTTTTTAGTGAGAAAGATTAGTTCTGAGCTAACATCTGTCGCCAATCCTCCTCTTTTTGCTGAGGAAGATTGGCCCTGGGCTAACATCCGTGCCCATCTTCCTCTGCTTTATATGGGACGCTGCCACAGCAGGGCTTGACAAGCGGTGTGTCGGTGCGCGCCCAGGATCTGAACCCCGGGCCACCGCAGCGGCGTGTGCGCACTTAACTGCTGTGCCACCGGGCCGGCCCCGAAGAAAACATTATTTTAACAAAGTAAAGCAATATAATTTGTTACTATAATTGTCCTGTTTAAAAGATGCATTTCATGATGGTTTTAGCAGATCATTTTAGAAACAAGTGTGCATTAGTTTTCAAGTGTAAAGTTTAAATAATTTGGTTTAATAATCAGAATGTATTCAATATTGTAATATTCATCCTATCATGCACTATTTTTCAACAATACAATTTCTTTCTATATTTAAATTGAATACTGTTTCCTCAAACTTAGTTATTGGTCTTTATCATGAATAGTCATTCAGAAATTATGTTTTGGTTCAGTGATTCTCACGAGAAATTTCTTGCCCCAATAAAGAAGGACATCAAAGTCTTGTAAGGAATGAGGGATAGAAGGTGGCTCTAGAGTTTGAAAAAGCATATTGAGTAATGAGAAAAATAATTTTATATCTCAGAAGGCAAAAATAAATATATTGTCTTAACTATACAAATTATAGAAAGGCAAAGCTTGACAAAACATATAGCTGGTGATGTGATTTCTTCAGTATTGGTGATTCTCAGTCAGGAGAAGAGACCACTCTAAGGTACAGATCCTGAGTCCCCTTACGTGGCATGGGTTAGAGATGTTGAAAAACATTTCAAGGCTCATACAGTTGCTTAAAATAATCACTACTGTTGAATAGGAATCCCTTTAATACTTAAATGAAAGGATAATGTTTATTTAAGAAAACTTGACATTTTCAAAGTAACTTTGCTTTGCACATTCATGTTTATTGAATTGGATTAATTTCTGTAATGCAAATCATAGGTAAATATTCAGAGTCATGTAAGTACAATTGAGATAGGAATTACACTAAAATGTTAGGAAGAAATGAGGACAAATTTAGACCCTGGATCAAGAGATAAAGTCTATCTGACTTTCACATAGGGAGATGATGGAAACTGACTCATTTAGTCTTTCAGAACAGAAAGACAGTGGTCTGATAAGGAAAGTAGAGGATAGATGAAATGCCCTAAAAGGGGGCTTGAACATCTTTAATTTCTGTGATTCTGTGAAAGAGGTAGACTTTATAGGTCATGGAGCAGAAGCCAACATTCGTAAAAAGAATCCCAACTTCCTCCTGTAGAATTATAAACACGTGAAACTACAATAAACCTCGGGTTCAAATGAGCAGCATTAGAGAGGCTCCTGTGTACGTCTGGGCCTTGAATTTATATTTGGTCTTGATACAGTTCTAATTGTGTGTATATTTTTTGTGCATGTTCACAAAGAACAGTTGAAAATTATGTATTATAGTTAATATATCTACCTACCTTCTTCTATTGGTGAATCATTGTATTATTTTACCATTTACCAAAGAGGATATTGTGGGTTTTCCCTATAGTTCTTCCATTATAGCTTTTCTTGATAACCGTGACTTTGGAGTCTTAAAAACTATCTATCTTGAGTTTGTATTTAGTGGAGGATGATCATGTTCACCTCCTAAAGCCTGTCATTATTGTTTGCTAATTTGGGGCTTGGGCTGTCATGGGGCTCAGAAGGTAAGACTTGAACACAAGCACCAAGGAACCGCTCACCCGTATTTGGTGGGCAGAGCAGGACTCTACCCAACTGCTAAGTTAGTATTGTTAGAAATTTCATTTTACAACACGAAAATGAACGTGTCAAAGATTTTAGAATTATGGAAAGTTAAACCTAGAAAGACCTTAGAGAACCATCCAGCTAACTCTCATTTTAAAAGTGAAGGATTCGTAGCCCAGAATACTTGCCCGAGGTCATCCATCCAGGGACGGAAAAGACAAGGATCCAAATGTAGTGGCTCCCAATTCAGTGCTCTTCCTACTGTTGAACATTGCTCTCTGTTCAACAAATTTGGGATTTTATCCTTGATATATTTTAATACTCTTATTGATTTATTTTAGGTTTAATTGATAAATAATTAATATTTCAGAAATGTTGAGATTGATCAGTGTCATTGTTTACATATATTAATCACCTGCCAAAAGCACTCGCTCTCCCAGGGTGTAGAGCTGGTGTGTCAAATGTGAAAGTTATTATGTGTGATCATTTGGTTTTGTGATTATGACGTATTTTAGTAAATGTACCGGTTGTATCCTTGCTGATATATTTTCACTGATCTTTCATAAAGTGCAAGTTTTGTTGTAATGGTACATATCAGACTGTATTCAGTGTTATAAAATCAGTATTCTATGGAGAATGAAAAAATAAAGGACAAACTTGACTGGAGACTTTTGCTACTTTGATGAAGCAGAATTGTTTGTTATACCTGCACATGAAGCAAGGAAATAATGTAATCTTCCTGCAAGATAGATGTAACACCTGTTGATCAAGCTGATAGCTTATCTCTCGTGTAAGCCAGTTTGTTTCCAGAGAAGAGGTCTTATAATGCAGACCAAGTTTAAATTCTTAATGCTAAAGAAAATTTTAGCAGAGGACCTTTTTTTTTAAAAGCAGAATAAGCAGCTCCTCAGTAGAGAGGTCAGCTCCTCTGAGCACATCTTCTTGGTACAGATCTTATCTAGTGATATGTGTGCCTCTGCTTCACAGTGTTACCCTTGGAAAGCTTGTATTGTTGTACCTTTTACTCAGTGATACACTGTAGTCTCATGCCACAGGAGATTTCAGCCTGTTCCCCATTATCTCCGACATTAATTTGGAAATCAAGATATCAGTACCTTTTTTCTCTTGTCGTTCGGTGACCTGTGCCGAGCAGTCACTGTGTCCAAGGGTCCAAGGTGCTGTGGGCTCCAAGCTGCCCTGCAAAGATGAGGAAGACCAGATTCTTATTGAAATGTGTGTGTATCTCAGGTGTCTTTTTTCTGTTCTCATTAGTGCATCCTCACACAAAGGTTGAGTGAAAAACTACCAAGGCCAACCCTATGCAAAAGTATTTCTTTAGATCTGTTAGAATGATAACATAAGCGCTAACATCTCTTGAGCTCTTAGCATGTGCCAGCCATTATTCTATACTCCTGACACATAATAACTCACAACAACCCCATGCAGTAGGTGCTTTTGTTAGCCCATTTTACAGGCCAGGAGACTGAGGCATGGAGAGGTTAAATAAGATGCTTAATTGGTACATGACAGAAAGGATTCAAACTGGCCCTCCCAGATTCATTCCTTTGGGTCTTTAAGGGTTGTTAATCTTCAGAAGCCTTCCAGCAAAATGCCACTACCAACTAGCCCTTTATTAGCTAATAATTCTTCCGGGATATGTTTCAGATCTTTTCAAGCAGAGAAGATAGCTGCAAACATGGCCTGCAAGAGAAACACACAGGTGTGGTAGGAGCCTGTGTGTTTTGGGAGAAAGAAGGGGGAGTAAGGGGATAGAGTAATAGAAACATGCAGTTAGAGGGATGAGAAAACTACTGAAAAGGGAACTAAGGAAACAAAAAAAATTTCCTTCCTTCAGAGTTAGCGAAAAGCTACCCTGAGGTAGGAAGAATGACAAAGCATGATAAAAATCTGAGCTGGTGGCTACAGGTGTTTGATTTGCAATTATTTGTATGGGTAGCTCACAATATGAAGGAAAATAACTTTACAAAAGTTTTTTTAAAATAAATTATGGTAAATAGAAAACAAAATAAGGTAGGAATATAGCCAAACATAATAGTACTTATAGGTATAAATGGGTTAAGCTCACCTATTACAAATAAAAGATGTTAAGATGGAACAAAAGAAAAATTTAAATCCCAGCTACATAAAGTTAGAAACACCTAAAAAAATAGCACAGGAAAGTTGAAATAAAGAGATAAGAGATGACCATACAAACGCTACAAAAAGGAAAGCAGGAATAGCAATGTTAATATCAAAACTGAGTTAGGGGCCAGCCTGGTGGTATAGTGGTTAAGTTTGGCTGCTCCACATCAGCGGCCCAGGGTTCCTGAGTTTGGATCCCGGGTGCGGACCTACACACCACTCATCAAGCCATGCTGAGGCGGCGTCCCACATACAAAATAGAGGAAGATGGGCACAGATATTAGCTCAGGGCCAATCTTCCTCACCCCCCAAGAAAAGGGGGAAAGAAGGGGTTAAAAAAACTGAATTAAAGGCAAAAATCATTTTAAAGGATAAAAATGGATCTCTCATAATACAACGGGAAGAGTTCACCAAGAAGGTCCAATCGTCATCAGCTGTATGACCCTAACAACATAACTGGGAAGTGTATAGAGCAAAACAAATAGATATTGCACAGAAACACTGGCAAAGCCATAATCATAGGTGCTGACTTAGAAATCATCAAGTCGAGTAGGAAAAGATAAGAACA